TATCACGAGGGACCAGTAGGAAACAAAATCTCGACAAAAAAAAAATTTGAAATTTCATCGTTTTAGAAAGAAGGTAGCTACCTTATGATTTTTTTGGAAAACTTTGAAATGTCATAACTTTTTTTCTATTATAGATAGAAAGCTGAATCTTTCACTGAAAATTATCCTTTTCAAAGGACTACAATCCCTGAAAATTTCAGCTCATTTGCACTTATAGTTTCTGAGATAAAATCGTGTTAAGCAATTGGGGTGATTCATCAATTTTTCAATTTTTCTGAGTGCCTTTTTTCATAGATTTCGGCTTCAAATCTGAGAATAATTTAGTTTATGGAGTTCAGGGTATCACGAGGGACCAGTAGGACACAAAATCTCGACAAAAAAAAATTTGAAATTTCATCGTTTTAGAAAGAAGGTAGCTACCTTATGATTTTTTTGGAAAACTTTGAAATGTCATAACTTTTTTTCTATTATAGATAGAAAGCTGAATCTTTCACTGAAAATTATCCTTTTCAAAGGACTACAATCCCTGAAAATTTCAGCTCATTTGCACTTATAGTTTCTGAGATAAAATCGTGTTAAGCAATTGGGGTGATTCATCAATTTTTCAATTTTTCTGAGTGCCTTTTTTCATAGATTTCGGCTTCAAATCTGAGAATAATTTAGTTTATGGAGTTCAGGGTATCACGAGGGACCAGTAGGACACAAAATCTCGACAAAAAAAAAATTGAAATTTCATCGTTTTAGAAAGAAGGTAGCTACCTTATGATTTTTTTGGAAAACTTTGAAATGTCATAACTTTTTTTCTATTATAGATAGAAAGCTGAATCTTTCACTGAAAATTATCCTTTTCAAAGGACTACAATCCCTGAAAATTTCAGCTCATTTGCACTTATAGTTTCTGAGATAAAATCGTGTTAAGCAATTGGGGTGATTCATCAATTTTTCAATTTTTCTGAGTGCCTTTTTTCATAGATTTCGGCTTCAAATCTGAGAATAATTTAGTTTATGGAGTTCAGGGTATCACGAGGGACCAGTAGGAAACAAAATCTCGACAAAAAAAAAATTTGAAATTTCATCGTTTTAGAAAGAAGGTAGCTACCTTATGATTTTTTTGGAAAACTTTGAAATGTCATAACTTTTTTTCTATTATAGATAGAAAGCTGAATCTTTCACTGAAAATTATCCTTTTCAAAGGACTACAATCCCTGAAAATTTCAGCTCATTTGCACTTTTAGTTCCTGAGATAAAATCGTGTTAAGCAATTGGGGTGATTTATCAATTTTTCAATTTTTCTGAGTGCTTTTTTTCATAGATTTCGGCTTCAAATCTGAGAATAATTTAGTTTATGGAGTTCAGGGTATCACGAGGGACCATTAGGACACAAAATCTCGACAAAAAAAAATTTGAAATTTCATCGTTTTAGAAAGAAGGTAGCTACCTTATGATTTTTTTGGAAAACTTTGAAATGTCATAACTTTTTTTCTATTATAGATAGAAAGCTGAATCTTTCACTGAAAATTATCCTTTTCAAAGGACTACAATCCCTGAAAATTTCAGCTCATTTGCACTTATAGTTTCTGAGATAAAATCGTGTTAAGCAATTGGGGTGATTCATCAATTTTTCAATTTTTCTGAGTGCCTTTTTTCATAGATTTCGGCTTCAAATCTGAGAATAATTTAGTTTATGGAGTTCAGGGTATCACGAGGGACCAGTAGGAAACAAAATCTCGACAAAAAAAAAATTTGAAATTTCATCGTTTTAGAAAGAAGGTAGCTACCTTATGATTTTTTTGGAAAACTTTGAAATGTCATAACTTTTTTTCTATTATAGATAGAAAGCTGAATCTTTCACTGAAAATTATCCTTTTCAAAGGACTACAATCCCTGAAAATTTCAGCTCATTTGCACTTATAGTTTCTGAGATAAAATCGTGTTAAGCAATTGGGGTGCTTTATCAATTTTTCAATTTTTCCGAGTGCCTTTTTTCATAGATTTCGGCTTCAAATCTGAGAATAATTTAGTTTATGGAGTTCAGGGTATCACGAAGGACCAGTAGGAAACAAAATCTCGACAAAAAAAAATTTGAAATTTCATCGTTTTAGAAAGAAGGTAGCTACCTTATGATTTTTTTGGAAAACTTTGAAATGTCATAACTTTTTTTCTATTATAGATAGAAAGCTGAATCTTTCACTGAAAATTATCCTTTTCAAAGGACTACAATCCCTGAAAATTTCAGCTCATTTGCACTTATAGTTTCTGAGATAAAATCGTGTTAAGCAATTGGGGTGATTTATCAATTTTTCAATTTTTCTGAGTGCCTTTTTTCATAGATTTCGGCTTCAAATCTGAGAATAATTTAGTTTATGGAGTTCAGGGTATCACGAAGGACCAGTAGGACACAAAATCTCGACAAAAAAAAATTTGAAATTTCATCGTTTTAGAAAGAAGGTAGCTACCTTATGATTTTTTTGGAAAACTTTGAAATGTCATAACTTTTTTTCTATTATAGATAGAAAGCTGAATCTTTCACTGAAAATTATCCTTTTCAAAGGACTACAATCCCTGAAAATTTCAGCTCATTTGCACTTTTAGTTCCTGAGATAAAATCGTGTTAAGCAATTGGGGTGATTTATCAATTTTTCAATTTTTCTGAGTGCCTTTTTTCATAGATTTCGGCTTCAAATCTGAGAATAATTTAGTTTATGGAGTTCAGGGTATCACGAAGGACCAGTAGGACACAAAATCTCGACAAAAAAAAATTTGAAATTTCATCGTTTTAGAAAGAAGGTAGCTACCTTATGATTTTTTTGGAAAACTTTGAAATGTCATAACTTTTTTTCTATTATAGATAGAAAGCTGAATCTTTCACTGAAAATTATCCTTTTCAAAGGACTACAATCCCTGAAAATTTCAGCTCATTTGCACTTTTAGTTCCTGAGATAAAATCGTGTTAAGCAATTGGGGTGATTTATCAATTTTTCAATTTTTCTGAGTGCCTTTTTTCATAGATTTCGGCTTCAAATCTGAGAATAATTTAGTTTATGGAGTTCAGGGTATCACGAAGGACCAGTAGGACACAAAATCTCGACAAAAAAAATTTTGAAATTTCATCGTTTTAGAAAGAAGGTAGCTACCTTATGATTTTTTTGGAAAACTTTGAAATGTCATAACTTTTTTTCTATTATAGATAGAAAGCTGAATCTTTCACTGAAAATTATCCTTTTCAAAGGACTACAATCCCTGAAAATTTCAGCTCATTTGCACTTTTAGTTCCTGAGATAAAATCGTGTTAAGCAATTGGGGTGATTTATCAATTTTTCAATTTTTCTGAGTGCCTTTTTTCATAGATTTCGGCTTCAAATCTGAGAATAATTTAGTTTATGGAGTTCAGGGTATCACGAAGGACCAGTAGGAAACAAAATCTCGACAAAAAAAAATTTGAAATTTCATCGTTTTAGAAAGAAGGTAGCTACCTTATGATTTTTTTGGAAAACTTTGAAATGTCATAACTTTTTTTCTATTACAGATAGAAAGCTGAATCTTTCACTGAAAATTATCCTTTTCAAAGGACTACAATCCCTGAAAATTTCAGCTCATTTGCACTTTTAGTTTCTGAGATAAAATCGTGTTAAGCAATTGGGGTGATTCATCAATTTTTCAATTTTTCTGAGTGCCTTTTTTCATAGATTTCGGCTTCAAATCTGAGAATAATTTAGTTTATGGAGTTCAGGGTATCACGAAGGACCAGTAGGACACAAAATCTCGACAAAAAAAAAATTGAAATTTCATCGTTTTAGAAAGAAGGTAGCTACCTTATGATTTTTTTGGAAAACTTTGAAATGTCATAACTTTTTTTCTATTATAGATAGAAAGCTGAATCTTTCACTGAAAATTATCCTTTTCAAAGGACTACAATCCCTGAAAATTTCAGCTCATTTGCACTTTTAGTTCCTGAGATAAAATCGTGTTAAGCAATTGGGGTGATTTATCAATTTTTCAATTTTTCTGAGTGCTTTTTTTCATAGATTTCGGCTTCAAATCTGAGAATAATTTAGTTTATGGAGTTCAGGGTATCACGAGGGACCATTAGGACACAAAATCTCGACAAAAAAAAATTTGAAATTTCATCGTTTTAGAAAGAAGGTAGCTACCTTATGATTTTTTTGGAAAACTTTGAAATGTCATAACTTTTTTTCTATTATAGATAGAAAGCTGAATCTTTCACTGAAAATTATCCTTTTCAAAGGACTACAATCCCTGAAAATTTCAGCTCATTTGCACTTATAGTTTCTGAGATAAAATCGTGTTAAGCAATTGGGGTGATTTATCAATTTTTCAATTTTTCTGAGTGCCTTTTTTCATAGATTTCGGCTTCAAATCTGAGAATAATTTAGTTTATGGAGTTCAGGGTATCACGAGGGACCATTAGGACACAAAATCTCGACAAAAAAAAATTTAAAATTTCATCGTTTTAGAAACCTTATGATTTTTTTGGAAAACTTTGAAATGTCATAACTTTTTTTCTATTATAGATAGAAAGCTGAATCTTTCACTGAAAATTATCCTTTTCAAAGGACTACAATCCCTGAAAATTTCAGCTCATTTGCACTTTTAGTTCCTGAGATAAAATCGTGTTAAGCAATTGGGGTGATTTATCAATTTTTCAATTTTTCTGAGTGCTTTTTTTCATAGATTTCGGCTTCAAATCTGAGAATAATTTAGTTTATGGAGTTCAGGGTATCACGAGGGACCATTAGGACACAAAATCCCGACAAAAAAAAATTTGAAATTTCATCGTTTTAGAAAGAAGGTAGCTACCTTATGATTTTTTTGGAAAACTTTGAAATGTCATAACTTTTTTTCTATTACAGATAGAAAGCTGAATCTTTCACTGAAAATTATCTTTTTCAAAGGACTACAATCCCTGAAAATTTCAGCTCATTTGCACTTATAGTTCCTGAGACAAAATTGTGTTAAGCAATGTGGGACGAATTCTTATCTTTACCTTATGATTTAGATTTTTGAATACTTTGAAGATGATGAACATTGAAAAAGCAAGTTCCTTACCTCATTTTCATTAGAACTTCCCATAACGTAAAAGAACAATTCCACGTTGCTTTTGTAAACGCAAGTGAGCCCATCCAGCATGATGATTTCGCCGTCTGCTCTGTGAGTCTTATTGAAAAGATTCTTCTCGAAGGCCTTTTGCTCTTTGGCTGTTGGAAAGACGTTTTTGTCGTAATATTTGGCCAGAATTCTGCTACCATCCAGGTCCAAAATAGCGATACCCTTCACAGTGTAAAGCATTGGTTCCTGTTAAATTTGTTATTTGAATGCTGAGACAGAGGTATTTTGTTCGATATTTACCAAAAGTGAGCCTTCCATTTTAGAATTTTAGGTAATTTTTTTTTCAAAACAGAGAATTGAAATAATTTGAAACGTACACAAAACGAACGTCACTGATTACTTGTCAAAGTCAAAATCAAAACAACCGTGAAGTTTGTCCTGTTATGTAGCAAAAGCCATGATGTATTTAGTAGAAAAAAAAAAAACGATTATTTTTGAAAATGGCTTCCAAACGGAAATTTACCAATGGAATTTTTTGCAGGACTAAATAAAAAGAAACCAAATACTCTATCAATTGCCTTATTTTTATCAAATTCTCGTTTAATTTCAAATTTTAAATCAGCTGATTAATGTCAACAAATATGTCGGTAAGTTAGGAAACTTTAGATTCAAATTTCATTTCCAACCAATCAAACGAAAGGATTATCTCTCTGTCCTTCTCTTCCTGTACCTTCCTTTTCAAAATCCTTCTTGTCATATTTGTGCATCCGTAAAAAGCTCGGTTATACACAGAATTCAGGTAATTTCAGCTTTTATTTTAATAATCCTTTAGTTTTTCGCCTCAAATTTCAGTTTTTTTATTAGTCCATATCCCTAGGAGGGTATTTTAGTTAATATTTTCCATAATAAAGTCCCCAATGTACGATTTCATTGGCCCCCTTACAACCCGGCATCACACAATAATTGCCCCCTTTAAAAAAAAAATCATTTTACCATGATGATTCTCATCCAAGGTTTCGCAAAAATATTTATTTATGAAACAATCGTGAAATAATTCTTGGCAGTCTGAATTTTACAAGAAAATCTTGGATGGTATCAAATTACTTTGAACAATTCGTCATTAACCTGTAAAAATGCTTTCGTAGGCACAACTACAAAATGCCAGAATTAACCGAAGTCGATAAAACTGTTCCTGTCGAGGCCAAGCCTGAAAAACCAGAACAAAGTGCAGAATCTTCCACGGGTAAGGTAATTTTATCATAAGAACTATTTATGTAATTGGGTGTGGAATACTTTTTTTTGCCTAAAATAGTCCTCATAAAGTTATTATTATCCAATTGTAGACAGTGACTCTGATGAGGAAATTCCTGAGCTCGAAGATGCAGGCTCATCAAATGCCGGAGCTGCAGCATTTCCGGGAGCCTCCACTGTTGGACTTCCCGACATGGTATCAAAAGCCAAACAATCCAGAGGCGAAAAGAAAGCCAGAAAAATTATGTCAAAATTAGGCCTTAAACCTGTAGGTCTTCAATCAAACCTATTATATTATTTTTAAATAATTATTTTTTACAGGTTCAAGGAGTGAGCCGAGTTACAATCCGTAAATCAAAAAACATCCTCTTTGTCATCAACAAACCAGACGTCTACAAAAACCCCGTCAGTGACACCTACATTGTGTTTGGTGAAGCTAAAATTGAAGATCTTTCTCAACAAGCTCAAGTGGCTGCAGCTGAGAAATTCAAGGAAGTTAATCCTGCTGGAGATGGTGCTGCCGGTACTACCACTACAGTGGTAGCTCCAATTGCAGAAGAATCTGATGAAGATGAAGATGTTGATGAGAGTGGTGTTGAAGAGAAGGATGTTGAGCTTGTAATGTCTCAAGCTAATGTCAGTAGGCCAAAAGCTGTGAAAGCGCTGAAGAATAACCAGAATGATATAGTGAACGCGATTATGGAGCTGACAATGTGAAACGATTGATTTTATTCACTTATTTTTTAATTTTAGTTAAGATTGAAGGAAATGAGACTTTTTAGGTGATGTATATAAAAAAATGATAAGAATAAAATAGAAATTATTCATTGCCTAAACTTATATTTTGGCTTTTATTTTGATAAAAATATTAATTATTTAGGCTAAATCACATTGTATATTAAAATAATAATAATAAAAACAAAATTATACAATGCTGGTGAATGTCATATTGCTCGAGGGAAATATTCTTCTTATTTTAAGTGAAATATAGGAGCCCAATCTTTTAAAATATTCCAAACCCTACAAACATTTCAAATTATTTCTTGAATCTCAAACAAAAATAAACAGTTTCTACCTACATTTTGGCTATTCCTATTATTTGTACTATTTACAGGTAAAATACAATCACAAGTGTTGGTCGATTTTTTCTTCCTGCACCAAAAATAAAACATAATTTGCAACAACATAATCCATAGGGCAAAATAAATTATTTTTATAGGATCAAGTGGTCCAGCAATGTAATCTTTTAACTTTTCTAAAATGTGTTCAGTCATTTTTGGACTGTTTTCACTGATAAACCTTTTTTTTGTTTCAAAGTATTTGATGCCCACAAAACAAGTTCTAACTTTTAAAAGTTCGCTATTAAATGGACGGGACGCCCTCTGGTGGATCGCGACATTTTTAAACTTGTTCAAACTTGTTCTTACGTTTGTCTTCTACTAGTTCTACTGCAAATAGAGTATTTTCTAGTTTTGAGATGTTCTCTACTAGAATTTCAATATTTGTATGTTTATTTTTGGTTGTTAATTAGATATATGATAATTATCATTTTACGTATTGGCCATTTACAATGATTTGTCCGCGAAAAGAAAAGAATTTGAATTATTCTGATTGGATTGTACAAGAGCCATCTACTAGTAATGCTCGCAAGCTGGAAATTTCTTGTACAGAAACGTTCTTTTTATCTTTATCGCCCATTTGGGACAGTTTCTCTCGATGATATTTCGAAAGAAAAAGAACTCACTACTTAGTTGCCAGAAAGTTACTTTACCGGCTTTACCGTATAGTGTGCGGTATCTATAATCAAAAAACTATTATCTTTCACAAATTCCAATATTGAGATATAGATGCTCATAGAAGATAAAATTTTATAACTGACACATGCGGAAAATGCCTTTTTCCTACAGCCGTGCGGAAAAATCGATTTTCCGCACTGATATGCGTGCGGAAAATGAGTTTTACCGCACGCATAACAGTATGAAAAAAGTTTTTCCGCACGTACGGCTGTCAGTGCGGAATAGTTATTTATGCAACTAGTGTGTAAAGTTAACTTTAAAGGTGCTTTACGCACGTATTGCATACAAAATTTTTTCTACTACCAATCAAATATGTGTAAAAAAATAAATTTAGACAAATTCTTTACCCACTAGTGCGTAAAGTACCAGAAAAATAGTAATTTGACAGGTCGACATCTGTCATTGACATTACTTTACGCACTAGTGTGTGAAGTGAACTACTTTACGCACTAGTGCGTGAAGAGAAATTTTACGTCTTCTGAATAGTGCGTAGAGTGAGTACTTTAAAAAAAAAATTTACCACACAAAAAAAAAAAGAAAAATTCTACATTTTTACGCCTGTAGGAAAAATATTGTACCTAACACTTGCGGAAAATATTTTTCTACGACTACTCTATAGTCTGGCAAGTGGTAAGTTGATAGAGACGAAAGGGGGAAGAAAATTGGGGCGTAACCTAAGAATATTCACTAACACCGCTTGATGACAGCCATGTCTTTGGGTTCAGTGGCACCAAAAACACCAAGGAAAATGAACCAATAAAATTATTAGAATTTTTTTTTTAAGTTTCGCGAATAACCACGCCACTGTGCTGTCGTTCAGGCTTTAACCTTGGACTCTAACCAATAGAATAATCATGCCTCTCCACATCCATCATTTCGCAATGTTGCCGGATTTTTTTCTATTTCAAAATACCAAACATGCCCATATAGTAAAAAAAAATATGTCACCAACTAGTTTATTACAGTTTCGGTCAAGTTTGGCAATAAAGCAGCAAATTTTATTGCAGTTCACCGTTTGACTAGCCAGACAATAAAAAGCTATTAAACACGCACTACTAACTTACCTAGAAAAACAATTATTCCGCACAGCGTGTGAAAAGTGCGCGCGGAAAGTTACTTTTCACACGCTAAAATAAAAATGACACTAATATAAGTTATTCCGCAGTCGTAGAAAAAGTGTAGTGTGTAACGCGTGTGAAAAGCACTTTTCACACTCGTGCGGTTGTGCCACTCTCCTGCGGCTCATGTCACCAAACTTCCTCACGCATGTGAAAAGTGCTATTTTCAACACTTGTTGCACAATATACTATTTCCGCACTTGTTAGGTAAATAGCTATTACGTATTAGTTATTTGTAGATTAATAACTATATTAGGGCCAAATTATGGACTGACTGGTAAACGCCTGGTTGTTACTTAGCAGGTACTTTCTATGCTCTTCTAAGCCGCTTTAGGGTGCTGCTAGAATACTTCACACCTGTCAGTGACCTGTCATACTCCATGCGTTTTGCACTCGAACGTTTGATACCAAACGGGTCAAACTGTAGCCGGAGTACTTCGGAGTAACTCGGGAGCGCTCAAAGGGTGGTACCCGAAAGCAGCTCTAGATAATAGAAAGTACCTGCTAGAGATTTTGTTGATTTGAAAGGAGTAAGAGAATCATGGAAAATGCTATTGGAAATGCGATTTGGCATGCACTCAGGGTCCCTATTAGGCAATTCAAACCACGTGACAATCAAGATGGCGTAGCGGCCACACATGAGCCAAAAAATACAAAAAAATATCTAGTTTTCACCCGATTTAATAGTTCACGTTCCTAGTCAACAAATATTTTATCAAATAATCAAAATCAAAGTTGCAAACCAAACTCTAATCAAAATAATTTAAAATAAGCATAAAAACATAATCAAAACAAACTTGCTTGGCTGCCACGCCATATTGAATTTTCCATTTTGACAGATGGATTGAATTGCCTTAAAGGCCCATCCTCAATCAATTTAGTAGCGAAGTGGCACTTCGGCACGCAAGCTAGGAAAATGTTGTTTAACGTTGGCATCCTCAATTCAATTCCGTGCTCCGAAGTGCAAGCTTGCAAGCTGCAAGCTTTTTCGATGCTTGCCGACTTATGTCATGCGCAGTACGGTAAAAAATAATTTAGGTTATCCTTGCGTTCGGTATTTTGCTCAAAGAGCAGAGCGGAGCCGTAATCACGTGACCAGCGAGTGCACAGTGCAGTTGAACGCTGTATCAGAGGGCTCCAAAATTTATTAAACGCACGTGACTGAGCCTGCACCGAGTACACTTTTTAAATAAACGAACGCACGGTATGTGACCGTACTACACGCACAGCAGACTGAAAATTGACAGCATGGAGGATGGGTATCAATTTCTCAGCACGCGTGCCAAAGTGCCACTTCGCTACCAGATTGATTGAGGATGTAGCTTAATTCTTGAAACTGGAGGCAGCGTTCAGAAAGCGGCTTTTGTTAATCAATGAACTTTAATGTCAAAATTTTGTCAAAATGTCATGACAAATATCCTGACGGTTATACACCGGTTATACTATTACCATCCTGACCAAGGAGTTCTTTTCACGTGGCGCCGGTTTAACTAACCAGCCCCCGGATTCTATTTTACGAGTCGAGTTAGATTATCTCGATATCGAATATGACAGCCCCGGACGTACCGTGTGATACGTATTGAAATATCGTAAAATAGAATCGCTATTTTGACAATTCGATACGAATTACGTTATCGCCTATACTACGCGACCAAATAGGTTGCGGGTGACGTCATGAAAGTAAAATTCTACTTGTCGTGATCCCAGCCCCGGTTACAAAGTGACGTGAGGGATACCTACCACTATAGTGGCTAAATAAACCTTTACATACAGTGGCGACAATAGAGGTCCCGCCGCCATCTTGTTCCCAACCTCTTGTTACTTTTAAATATTAATATATAGGATTTAAATGAACATCTATCATAAAAAATTGAAATTGGACGTATTTGATGACCATTATCAGGTCCATCAAAAACGTGTTTTCCATGATTTATGATAGATGTTCACCTAAATCCCATATATTCACACTTAAAAGTAACAAGAGGTTGGGAACAAGATGGCGGCGTTTTCAATATAAATATATGGGATTTTAGAACCAATCAAAAATGAGACAGCAATTGTCGCCACTGTGGACCACCACCTACCAGTCGAATTTGAGCGGTATCTTGCGGTTTGTTAAACTGGAGCCACGTGAAAAGGGTTAATGAAGAAACGGTAGCTAAAGCCATTCTTTACCCTTAAAGAAAAGAAGAATCCTACCTGACGTTTTTCGTTCTCTGACGTGTCTTTTGAGGTTAATGTTTATTGTATATTTTTATTTGTTTGAATAAAAAAAAAAATTGCCAACCCGTAAAATAATGTTATCCTGCAATAAAATTTTGATTTATTGCTAATAAAAATTCACTGTTTTTTTAATTTGCTCTAGTCTTATGAATGTGATAAATTGAATCATGGGCACGACAGTGAGTAAAAGCTCAGATTTGTCCATCAACGACTATTGTTTGAAATTTGTTGCAAAAGAAGCTATTTCTTTAAACGATCCTTTTTGGAATAGGTTTTTGGCTTTCACCATAACACCACCAACTACTAGGTAAGGATATTAAACTTATACAAATCTTCATTAAACAATAAATCCCATTTTAGAAGTGACCAAATAATACTAGAATCAAAAATCGATCCTCTATGTCAAGAACTATTGAAAAACAACTTAAGTTCGGGTAATTTGGGTACTTTAATACATTTATTCATCAGCAGATCATCTGAATTGTTAGTCGCTACCGATTCTGAAGCGTAAGTAATTGTTCAAATAATTGCTGACTTGGCAATAATTATCAAACTTCTAGAAACTTATTCAATTGGCAACTCTTCAACAACCTTTTCACTATACGATGCGTTTTGAAATTCCTCACCGAGACAACCACAGAAGATCAGCTTTTAGAGCATATTGAATTCAATGGCAACGGCACCCTTTTTGAATCATTTATAAGCTCCCTCTTTACAATTCTCGTTGACGTACCAGTACAAGACACCACATATGCAATCCACTTGGAAGCAGTCACTTGCTTACTTATTTTATTGTTTGTGCAATACGAAGTGCAATATCATTCCAGTTTGCAGTTGAATGCGAGTCAAATTTATAATGTTGTTATGCGAGGGAAGCATGTCATAAGTGCCCCTTTGTTTGTTAAATGTTTGCTGACTAATTTTATTAACCAGCAAGCTTTGCCTAAAGGATATGGAACAGGACAGGGGCAGAGTTTAGTTATAGGTTTGTATACTACTTATGTTTTCTATAATTTCAACATTTTGATATAAGTTAAGGTGGCTACTCACTACACAAGACTTGTCAAGTGCTTGCCAAGTTTCGAGTAATGTGTATGAAGACTTGTCTATACCCAAGTTGCTTAACGCGATTTTATTTCTAGAACTATTAGTTCAAATGAGTCGAAATCCTCAAGGATTGTAGTCCTCTTTTAGGATAAGAATAGCTGGTTTTGGTTTTACAGACATACGATTTTTTGAAACAAATTACTTTCCTATTCTCAATAAAACATCCTGTATATTTTGTCATCGTCAGAAAGCCTGATTTTTCTACTTTACAAAAATGTAATATTTTTTTCTTACTACTAACCTGAGAAGTAGTCATTATTCCATTCAATTTTTCTGGGAAAAAATTGAATTTCTCTCCCTAGGTTAATAATGAAAATAATGAAAAAATACCTAGGTCAATAATGAAAATGACGTCATGACGCAAGGATATTGTCATAACGTAACAAGGTACGGATTCTCAATCGTTAAGTCGATACATAACGTCCCGACTCCCTGTAGGGGATAGGTTACGACTAGAGGTTGAGAATCGGGAGGCTGGTTTCTATTGGTTTAATTTCAGCGTCAAACTGTCAATTTTAAGGTTCAGGTTCAGGAAATTACTGTAAGCTATTGATAGAGAACAGCTCTAGCAGTAGGTACTAAAACAAAATCTATATAAGTATGCCTCGGTAGAGAAAGTCATTATGTACCTTACCAACTTCTCTACCCAGGTATATAATATACTATTATTCAATTATATTGAAATCACATTCTAAAAATTGCACTTTGTTGGAGAGGGTACAATAAACTGACTAAAAAAAAAAAAAGAAAAAAAACTTCAAGCAATTAAGTAGAGGGAGTTCAAACGTTCAGGATTTATTGAGTATAGGACCTTTTTATCAAATCGCGAATGGATCTCAGGCTTAGTAGTGGAATTATCGAGGGAATTATGAACTTTTTCTCTTACATACAATCAAATTATGTGAAATTTTTGAAAAATCATCTTGGGAAGCTTATGAAAAATACTTCCAAGCAATCTGAGCCACATCAAACTTCAAGAATTTATTGAGCAGAGTCTTTTTATCAAACAGAACAAACCGCGAATAAATCTCAGACTCAGGAATGGACATATTAATTTTCATCAATAAAATTTTTGTTCAATAGTTTCATTTTAAAACTTTGATAAACCGCAACTTGTTATCTTTTCTCGTTATATATCTGCAAAATAAAATATATATATTTATCTAAGGGCACCCTATATTGTAAATTACTGTCTCTTCAGGTTTAGCTACTGAATTATGGTCCATGTTAACGTTTTCGAGAAAATCCGAAGATTCCGACTTACCCGAATTGAGCGAATTCCAAAAAGCACCTTTAGCCACCCAAAGTATTTTGTTGCTGTTAGTTTTGGTACACAAATGGACTACTTTGAATAATCCCTACAGACTGAGCTTGTTTTCTTGCTTGAATCAAGGTGAGTATATTTGTTTGTTTAGTATAGTTGGAACGGTTATACTTAATACAGTAGTACATAATTAATGACTTATTTCATTTCCCATTTAAAAAGATTTATTTTAAAGTCTTAATGTGTTTTGTAATGAGTCTAGTAATTACTATGATCCAAATAAACGGGATTATCTAAAACTATTCAATAATCAATAATCAAAAGTCTAATACAGGAAATAAATAAATAATATCATACATTGTTAACCTGATAAATATTTAATACAATGTATATTGAAACAATCAAAAAATTGTATAAATCTGATTTTTATTATTCTTTCCAGATAACAATCCTATGCCTCCAACCACAGAAAACACAATATTCAAACTAGACTTCAATTCATTGTACTCAACTCTTTGTAAGAAAACTTCAGGAGACGCGCCCACTCTTCTACTGTACTTATTGTTGCACAGGAACCCAGCCTTTAAGACATATCTTTTGGATAGACTGGACATTCAAGACTTGGTAACTTGATTTTTGTAATTATTAACAAAACAATAGCATTTATTTAATTTTAGATTATTCCTATTCTTAAAACGCTTTACAATGCACCAAATAGCCATAGTCATCACATTTACATGTCGATTATTATCTTGTTAATTTTGAGTGAAGATGATACTTTTAACAAGACCGTTCATGAAACTGTAAGAACTTCAACTAGTAATTAAAACAAATTTTTCTTTTACAACTTATTTTCAGAAATTGAAAAATATTACATGGTACACTGAGCGTCAGCTAACAGATATTTCTTTGGGAGGTCTTCTAATATTGGTCATAATTCGTACAATTCAGTACAACATGCTTAAAATGCGGGACAAATATTTACATACAAATTGTCTGGCAGCTTTAGCTAACATGTCTTCTCAATTTCGTGATTTGCATCCTTACGTGAGTCAACGATTAGTTTCTTTATTTGAAACCATAGCAAAAAAATATCAGAAAGTTTCGAAAACATTAGACTTTGAAAGGCATTCAACAGAAATCAATATAAATCAAGATGAAGAGGATTTACAACAAGACATCAACGTTTTAGAAGAGGTTCTAAGAATGGTTTTGGAAATTTTAAATTCTTGCCTGGCAACTCAACTAACTTACAATCCTAATTTGATTTATACTTTATTATATAACAGGCATATTTTTGAAATGTTTAAAGACAAAGTGGTATTCCAGGATATTATTCATAATATCGATATTGTTATTAGACATTTTTCGGAATTATTAAGCACTAAAACTCAAGAAGTCGACGCCCATGAAGTTTTGCAAGTTATACAGCAGGGTGGAAAATATTGGCCTAAAGATAAATTAACAGTAAGCATTTGTTTTTGTTTGTTTTGAATTTAGTTAATTGTTTTGTATTATTACAGAAATTTCCTGATTTAAAGTTTAAATATGTTGAAGAAGAGCAACCGGAAGAATTTTTTATTCCATATGTATGGGAGTTAGTTAATCAACAATCAGTATTAAATTGGAATAATAGCTCTATAGCTGTTTGCTAGCAAATAAATAGAAATTATAGTTTAGGGCAATTCTAACATTATCTAATCCGTTCTCTGAATTATATTGGACAATAAAGAGGGTTTCCATTATATTTTTATAAATACCAAAAATCAAAAATGTACCTTTGTTTTTTTTTTTTTAATGGAATATCATCACTTTTCGGTTAGTATATTTTGTTTAATAATTAATAAAGGGATGTATTTAGGTGTGCATAAAAAATATAGATTATTATTTATTGCATTTTAGATTTTAGCATCCCCTACAGCATGGTAGTTATTATTTTTAGTGTGAATACTTAATTTATATAAAAAAAAATATATATGTTTTATTGTTTGTTACAACATAGCTTTTATATAAATAACAGTTGTTAGTATAAAATAATGTTATATGTCAATCTTTCCCATACTCCTTTCCACTTCATACCTATTATGATAATCACATTGTTACTTATAACCCAGAATATAGGCAATAGGCTTAGTCGAGTATCAGCTGAGCAGCAAAGAATTGATCTTTTGAATATTATATTAAAAACAATATGAAGTTATTTCTGATACTGCTGTCGGAAGTTTACTTTGCTGGTGAGAATTTCTTTCGCAGCTCATCATATCCCAAATCTGCATTGGGAATATCAAAATCAAATGACAGTTTGCTGATCATTTAATATTTACATTTGTGTTTACAGGTGTTTGTTACATTTTTTCTGGCATGCAAGAAATTATTGATGTCAGGTGACAATCAATAATTTTTGGTATTTTACATCCAGATTTTCCAAAAATTATTAAAAATGTTTATAAATATTTTGAAATATGTGGATAGTACAGTTCAAACCATAGTTAATTCTATGCGCTCTGTCGGGTTCTTCTTCCAGGATCCAGAAATCCAATTTCTGTCAGAAGTTAGGGCCAATTAATAATGTTCTGCAGGCAGAATTATGCAGAGACAAGTGAGTTGGAGTTGAGCATTTTCTACGTCGGGTTTAAAGGCTGCAGAGCGGTTCTGGTAAGGAAATCTCAGTTTGTAAAGCAGGTATTTGGTAAATTTATGCTGCACTCCTATCCTTTATGTGGCATACTTAACTTGGAGTCCAAATTGGCAGTATTCATATGTGGATCGAATGAGACTGCAATATAGACAAATCATCGACTTCGTACTATATACAGGGTGTCCCCGTTCAACTGGTTCACTTAAATCCAGAAAATTTCATTACAATCGCTAGTAACTTTGTTCATTTTGAAGATATTCAAATTTTTGTTTGCACAGATCAGTGCCAAACTTTTTGAGGAATCAATGCAAAATTAAAAAATAGTCAAGTTCCCTGCTATTCTATAGAAGTTCCTAGAATTTTTCAATGTCGAATCCAGTAAGGTTCATTCATTATTCTTTGTATCACCAAAGTCTGACGGTTTCGAAATAGAATAGACTTTGCTATCACCCACAGAAAGCATAATTTGAATTGACTCTCAATCTACTATAAAATAAATGATGTCTATGATGCAGGAACAAAAATAAAGTTTATAAAAGCCAAATTTTACTTTTGGTGGTAGAGACTAGAACCATTATGCTAGGGTTCTGAAAGGGTGAAAAGAGCATCTCGGTGCAATGTTTTACATTCATATACAAAAACCAACTAATTCATGCAATTTATTTTTGATGGCAACTTGCAACTTTGAGGAATAGAAAATGATTTGCTTCTTATAGTCACACAGTCATGAAATATTGTAATATGTAATTATTAATAATAGAAAAATGTCAACGACTTTGTGGTTTACGGGGGCGTATTATTGTAATTCATGCTTTTTGTTTTCAATTAAGTATTTTGTAAAATGAATTATTATTTATTACCTTCACATATCCAACATACAATTTAACACGTTAAATTGCCCCATGGCCACTCAATAAAGACGATATGATTTATTTTGCAAAAAAAAAACCCAAATTAATTAAAATTTATATACAGGTAGAAGTTTCTTTTTTACTTGACTTGTTGCACAATCCCAAGGGCCCCAGGTGTTCACAAGAAAACCAATCTCGAAACAATCAAAAAAATAACTCATCCACTTATCCTGTAATTAATTAAACCCAATTTAATTTTGACAATTTTTCTCTCCAATAACCCGGCGACATATCGGATTATACATCGGTTGGGTCCTCCGAAGTAAAAGTGCATTACATCATTATCATAATTTATTTCGAACGAAAAAATATCGAGGCCCCTGTAACAATATCCTCATTCATACAAAAACAAATAAATAAAAAAAAAAGCAGCGCAATAACGCCTTTTCCCTTCAGATGCGGCCAAACCAGATTTATTTGAAAAGTGGCAAAAAAGCGAAATCTTGAACAAATAAATCATTTCGGGTTATGCAATCTGCGAAATATTTATAGTAAATGGGTTTTTTGTCTTTAACTTTGACCTCTGCATTGGAGATCACTCGCTAAAATCTTGCACATATACTTATGGTGTAAATTGCACCATGTTAAATGGTCTTTGTTGAGACATATTTTGTGTAATATTAGGTTCAAGTTTATAATTTTTAGTAGGTTTATCTAAATCAAAAAAATGCTAGAAATTTTTTTTTTTAAAAAATATAATTTTTCTATTATAGTCAAGGTGACAATGAGCAATAACGTAGGTGAGGATGTATCGACTAGGAAAGTTTAACCTTTGATGATTTAAATGAAGAAGAAAATACGAAAAGTATATGACACTCTGATACAAAAGATAAAATGACTAAAGTCACAAGGTTTTCATGTAAAAAGTAGAATGTTCTTCAACAGAAAGTAACTACCTTAACCTTATAGTCTCTCTTAGCAGAATGTAGTTGAGGAATCTTCTGCGTTGACTTCGTTGCACCTTTACTAAAAAAAAAAGCGCTCATCAGTGATTGAGCACCTACTATCAAAGATAATCAACTCTAATCATGACGTTTGTTAATCTTTTTTCTCCATGGACCATGGTAGAATCAAAACTTTGTTGTAGGCAGGTTAGATTTTAGGTCTTCGCAGTTCAGAAAATTCTATTTTCTGGATATTTTCTAATAACCCTATTTATAATCTATCAGGAATCCAAAGGATTATGTGACAAACCCCTTTTAACCTAAATTTTCCATGTTCTGAAAATTCAAAATCACTTTTTTCTCGATGAATTTTTATAATGTGCTTGAGTTTACTTTAATTTCAAAGATTTGAGTTTTGTCCAAAATTGGAGCATCATAATCACCCCAAATTGCTTAACACGATTTTATTTCTGGAACTATTAGTCCAAATGAGCAGGAATTGTATTCCTCTACTGGAATAAGAATCGCTAAAAATTTCAGCTTTCTATCTCTAATAGAAAAAAAGTTATGACCTTTCAAAGTTTTTCAAAATATAAACCAAAAGCTACCTTAGTGGATTTGGAGCCGGATACTATGAAAAAAGGCACAAAAATTCAATTCATGATGGGAAAATTCGTTCTTACATAAGGGGCATATATAATTATTTCCTAGATCTTATTTGGCTTAATATGTATATATTGAGCATGAAATATCATATTATTGAAGACATTTATTTTATTATTATTTATTTATTGCTTTGCCCCGCAGGGCTTTCATATGCAAGATGTAATAATACTACCATTTTTGTACAATCCTGATTAAATCAATTTTATTCCTCTGAAACCATATAAATATTAATTGAGAGAAATTATTTCTGAAAATCCTTACAGGAAATAAAATCTAATTTGTAATAACTGTTGTTTTTGGAATGCAGTGTACTTAGCAATTAAACTTGCTGAAATACACAATAATTATCACCTCCTCCTGCACCGGTCAAATTCATTTGTTCGATGACGCATATTCTCCATGTCTTCGCGTAAGCTCTTTCACAACCGAAAAAAAACCTTCCTTCTTACGAAAGTAGACCAGCTTTGGTCCCTGTAATTCGATCGGTACCTACCACCCCACTTTTTGCCACACGATTTTTAATCGTATAAAAACCCATTTTTACCATGGAAATTCGTAGCAGTACCTCAGTGCCTAACACAAAATGAAGATAAGTGTAAGTACTAGAAATTCTGCAAATTAACAAATAAACATTTTTTTTTTTTTATATTTCAGACGCTTTTAATTATCCTGGCTTTGGCTTATGTGCATGCTGAAGACTCAAAAACCTCCTCATCAGAGAAGAAGACCACAAAACGTGGTGTCTTCGGTGAATCCTTAGGCTATGGTGGCAGCTATGGAAGTTACTCTTCAGGATATGGACTTGGATCATACTCATCTAATAGCCATAGTGGATTTGGTGGTGTAAACAATATAGGACTGGCTGGTAGCTCTATTGGACTTAATAATGGCCTCAACAACATTGGATTATCTAGTGGTTCCATTGGTCTTGGTGGTATAAATAACATTGGTGGATCGATTGATTTAGGTGCTCAAGTCCAACGCACCGTCACCATAACCAATCACGTCGGAGTACCGGTACCTCAACCTTACCCCGTTGCAGTCGAAAGACGCGTTCCAGTTCCAGTGCCTCACCCAGTGGCAGTTCCAGTTGACCGACCCTATCCAGTTGCAGTGCCGAAACCTGTTCCCGTTCCCGTCGACAGACCCTATCCCGTAGCAGTAGACAGGCCAGTACCTTATCCCGTTAGAGTACCGGTGAAAGTATCAGTTCCAGTGCCAGTCAAGGTGGCAGTGCCTCATCCGTATCCTGTGGCAGTGCCTCATCCGTATCCTGTGGAAGTACCCAAGCCTGTACCTTATCCCGTACCACATCCTGTTATTGTTCAAAAACCGGTGCCTGTGTATGTCGGAGGCAATTCAATTGTAAATGGTGGAATTTCATCTTCATCTGGTGGATTATCTAACGGCTATTCTAGTGGATTATCTGGAGGATATTCTAGTGGAGTCTCTGGTGGATATGCTAGTGGAGGTTACTCACACGGACTATCTGGAGGATATTCTAATAGTGGTGGATATGCTAGTGGACTATCGGGAGGCTATTCACACGGACTGTCTGGTAAATATTCGAACGGGTTATCTAGTGGATATTCTAATGGTTACTCCGGAGGATATTCAAGTGGATACTCGGGCGGATATTCATCATCAAGCGGCGGTTATGGAGGGTATAAGAAGGTCTGGTAAACTTCCAACTGAAAAATCGAGTATTTAATTTAATTTTGTGATATTGTACTGACATTTCATCTAATAAATGTACAAACTTAGTTAAGCGGTATTAGCATGTCTGTATTTTTTATTTTTTAATAAAATACACCTTTAGGCAAATTGAATTTAAATATTATGAAAGTGTTTTTATCCCTATTCAAATAAAATATATTAGATTTATAAAGCGTTAGCAAAGGAGTAATTTGGGATTAAAAATTAAATAATT